AAAAAAAAAAAAAAAGACGGGGTTTCACCATGTCGGTCAGGCTGGTCTTGAACTCCCGACCTCAGGTGATCCGCCTGCCTTGGCCTCCAAAGTGCTTGGATTACAGGTGTGAGCCACCACGCCTGGCCCCAGAGGTGTGTTCTTAGCTCACTTCTCTGGCTCAAGCTATCCTCCAACCTCGGCCCCCAAAGTAAGCACAGGTCAGGGCTCTGGCCAGGCTTTTTTTTTTTGAGGGGGGTGGGGCTGGAGTCTCGCTCTGTTGCCCAGACTGGATTGCAGTAGTGTGATCTTGGCTCACTGCAACCTCCGCCTCCCAGGTTCAAGAGATTCTCCTGCCTCAGCCTCCTCCGTAGCTGGAATTACAGGTGCCCAATACCACACCCGGCTAATTTTGGTATTTTTAGTAGAGATGGGGTTTTCCACATTGGCCAGGCTCATCTCGAACTCCTGACCTTGTGATCCACCCGCCTTGGCCTCCCAAAGTGCTAGGATTACAGGCGTGAGCCAGTGTACCTGCTGGCCAGGCTTTTTGATATACACCTACACTCAGGCATAATGAATCTAGTTTGTTGTTGTTTATAATAATGGAACAATTCAGTTCCATTATTATAAATTGAGTCCTGACTTTCAAGAAAACAGTATATCACAGGCATCTTTTCAGGTCTGTATAGACCTATAATTTTTTTTTTTTCTTTTTTAAAATAGAGATAGTGTCTCAGCATGTTGCCCAGGCTGGTCTTGAACTCCTCAGCTCAAGCAATCCACCCACCTCGGCCTCCCAAGTGCTGAGATTGATGACAGGCATGAGCCAATGTGCCTGGCCCCTATAAAACTTTTTTTTTGAGACAGAGTTTCATTCTGTCGCCCAGGCTGGAGTGTAATGGTGTGATCTTGGCTCACTGCAACCTCCGCCTCCCGGGTTCAAGCGATTCTCCTGCCTCCACCTCCCGAGTAGCTGGGATTACAGGGAGGCACCACCACGCCCGGTTAATTTTTTTATTTTTAGTAGAGATGGGGTTTTACCATGTTGGCCTTTACCATGTTGGCCAGGCTGGTTTTGAACCCCTGACTTCACGTGATCCACCCTCCTCGGTCTCCCAAGGTACTGGGATTATAGGCGTGAGCCACCATGCTCGGGCCCCCGTAAAACTTTTAATATCTGGATAATATTTTACTGAAAGGATGTTCCCTGTTTTGTTTGCCAATTCCCTATTGATGGATATTTAGGTTGTTTTCAACTTTTCACATCATTACAATCTCTTTCATGTTCATTTTTTAGCATAACAACATTTTTTTATTTGGAATAAATTTTTGTGAGTGGAATTGCTGGGTCGTTGACAAATTGTCTAGGTCTAATTAAACATGTTCACACCGTGTACCAAGGAGAGGTGTAGCGAGCATGGCACTGAAGTCAGGGAAGTCTTTCCGGCTCCTGCCCTTTTGAAGGCCCTATACTGTTCAGCCATATACCCAGGTCTTTCCCAGGCTTTTCTTTCCCTAGCACGGATGCAGTGTGTGCGGTCAGAGCTGGCGAGTTCGAGACCGGTCCGAACCATCCACCCCCAGCCAGGCCCCGCTGCAGCGGCTGCGGTGGCCCTCCCAGCCCCTGGGAATCCATCCCCAGTTCCCCTCCCCGACCGCGGGAGGGCGTGTTAGGGGAGCAGCTTAGGCAGGCAACGATTGCACCATCCACGGTTTGAAAAGGAAGTCTGGGAAGTACAGGGAGGAAACTTGCACAACCCAAACGTTGAGCCCCAGCATTCATACTCTGTCCCTGCAGCGCTCCTTCCACTTCTACTTGCTGGGCTCCGATCCCTTCCCTTCTACCCCGTCTCTGCCCAACCCTGTGCTGGGCACTGGCCCTTTAAGGAGCTGTCACGCTGGCGTCGCTGGCCCCGCCCGCGACGGGGAGGGCCGAGAGGCAGGGGAGGGGTTGGTGGTGGCTGCGGGGAGGTGACGGGGTGGGGGGGGCCTGGGTCTATTTTTAGCTCCGGGTCGGGTCACGTGACGGGAGTGACGTCTCCGAATGTTGTTGTTGGTGGCGGCGGCGAGCGGAGCCGGAGGAGCCGCCGCAAAGATGGAGGAGCCGTCGAGGAGGCGCTGCCGCCGCTGCCGTCGCCGCTGCTGCCGCCGCCGCCCGCGAAGCCGGAGCTCGAGCCGCAGCGGGTGAGCGCGCCGCCCCGTCCCAGATCCCATCTCCCCCTGTCCCCGGGACGCGAAGCGGTGCCCCCTCCTCCTGTCGTCCCTGTCCCCGGGCTCCCCGCGCTCGCGCCGCGCTCCGCGGCCCCCATCCTTCCTCCCGGGCCCGGGTGCCAGCCGGCGCCCCACGGGAGCATCGCCAGCCCGGGAGCGGGTCATCGGGGCTGCTGCGCGCGCCCCTCCCTGCCCCTCCCAGAATGGGGCGCCTTCCCTGCAGGTGAGGGAGGGGCCCGGCTTCCCGCGCCCCGCGCCCCCAAATGGCTCGGAGACCGACCTGGGTTGTCTGATTTGTCCCTATCCTGGCGGCGCATGTTGCGTCGCTGAGCCGTTTGAGCCCTGCACCCGGATTCTGTGCAGACCCCTCTTCGCTGGACACCTTTTTCTTGGTACTCTGAGGTGAAGGGTGCTGCCCACCCACAGCGCTTCTCCCCACAGCTAGGAACGCATCCTTGATTTTATGCCCTTGACTTTCGTGCATGAGGAGGGGGAATGCAGAGTCCACCTTACCTCTCTCCCATTATTCTTACCCCCTCTCCTGTGAGGCGTTACTGCGTTTGTTCCCACCCTCTTCTCCTGTCTGACACCCTGGAGCAGGATGTGAGAACTAGGAGATGAAATGGAGCTCCCCCCCACTCCTTGTCTGGGGTGGATGCCCCGATTTTTCATCCCGGGTCTGTATCTCATGGAGGCGGGGGCACTACCGGTGCCTTGTTAACTTGGGGTAGTCAGCTTCTCCACCCCACCCTTCTCTGGGGCCCTGGGGAAGATGAGAACTGGCTGGGTGATAAGTAATTAATCTGGGAGCCTGGCGGGGGGGGCTGTTGGAGTGGGGAGGTTGGGTGATTCCTTTGGGATAGATGACCACCTGATACCCCTGACTGATACCTTTTCTGAGATGAGGTGTGTCCCTAAAAGGAAAGGAAACAGCTGCAGTTGCTTTTAGGAGGGTGCAGAGGGACCCATCACTCTGTCAGTGACCACCATGCTTTTGGGACCTGGAATTAGGTTTGGAGCTTGGAGAAGTGGTGGTGATTGGGTTCAGCGTCCAACTGCGAGGGGAGGATAGAGCCATATTATGGGAACAAAAGGAGGTGGGGGGGAGGGCAAGATCCAGGAATCTTGGTCAGAGGGACCCCTGGCCAGGTTGCCTTGCAAGATTGCAGCCTGGCTCTGGGTCCTGCCTTCTGCCTCCTTTTAGGTTCAGAGGATGTAGGCAGGCAGGGATGCTCTTCAGTCTGCCAAGTCCTAGGCACCCTGAGCCTGTGCTGGCTGTTGAGATGCTTCGCTGGGCTGGATGGTGGGTGAGCCACGTTGGGGGGCTGCCTGCTTCTTCATTCCAGTCTTCCCTCCTTCCTCTCCCTCCCTAAACGCAGAGCTTGGGGAGATCTTGGTTTTCCTCCTTCCTTTTTTCTTGACTTCTCTCTTTGCCCTCTTTTCATTTGAACTTGGATCTGGGCTTTCTTGACAAGGCAGTAAGTGTCTCTCTGAGTAAGAGAAATGGGCCCCCAGCATCTCCACTCTGTCATGGGAATGTGAGCATGCCAGGGACCAGAGAAACTGATCTCAGGTGCAGGTTACTTGGGGGCAAGGATGGAGGAGATGTTCTGTGCCATCCTCCCCTTCTTCCCCAATATATCCTCCTACTTTGGCTGGATCATGTAATTTGGAGGGCAGCAGTTTCACGTGCCCCACCCACCCCAAGTAGCTGCAGAGACAAAGGTTTGCTTTTCCTTCCCTAGGGGTGGCATCTTAACTGTATGTTTAGAAATGGGGCCTGGGAATGTTGCGGGCTGGGGGGTCATTTGTGTTCCCGCATAGTGGGGGAGGGGGGATCAGCTATAGGAACTGGGGGTAGCGCAGTCTCGGTGCTGAAGTACCAGCTGCTCTTTAATAATTAATTCTTCCTACTCACATCCCTTTGAGGAGGGATGTCTGGAACACGGCATTGGGCTCAGCCAGCCTGCTAGAGGACTCACTCCTGTTGGTGGAGGTGGGGGGGAGGGGGAGACAGCAAGGGGGGGTTGGTTCTTGGCATTTTGGAGCACTGTAGCTTGCTTATGAATGAAAACCTGATGCAGCCTGTGAGGGGGCCTATTGTAGCTGACTTTAGCTAATTAAACTTTCTCTGCCTTTCTTCTTTCTCATCCCATCTCACCCCAAGCCCAGCTCCAGCCCTTTCTTGAATGGGGACCCTGTCTGGTAGTGCTGGGAAGAGGGTATCGTTCTGCCTGAGGTTTTAGGGCAAACAGACCCCGTCTTCTGCCCTCTGCCTCCGCCTCCTCCCTTCCTCCCCTCTCACCACCCCCCCCTTTTTTTTCTAGAAATAGCAGCCTCCTCCATCTGGCTTGTGCAGATGCCTGGAGCTGTGTCTGAGCAGACAAACAGAAATGGGCCGATTGCAAAAATGAATTTGTCAGGCTGGTGCCTTTTTTCCTCCCCTGTCACCCTCCCCCTTTCCCTGGTTTGGGGCCTGGACATCCAAGTCAGCCACTGTTCATGGCTCTGATTCTTCCGGCCTTCTGTTGGCCTATCCTGGGGGAAGCACCAGGCAACAGAAGCTCTCGGAGGCTGAGGATAGAGGTAGGCTGTGGCCTGGTCAGGAGGGTCAAGATGACAAGTCCGTAGTGGCTTTGAGTGGGATGTCGTGGCTTGTAACATTTTTTTTTTTTTTGAGACGGAGTTTTGCTCTTGTTGCCCAGGCTGGTGTGCAATGGCATGATCTTGGCTCACGGCAACCTCTGCCTCCCAGGTTCAAGCGATTCTCCTGCCTCAGCCTCCTGAGTAGCTGGTATTATAGGCATGCGCCACCATGCCTGGCTAATTTTATATATTTTTTAGTAGAGATGGGGTTTCTCTATGTTGATCAGGCTGGTCTCAAACTCCTGACCTCAGGTGATCCGCCTGCCTCGGCCTCCCAAGATGCTGGGATTATAGGCGTGAGCCACCGAGCCTGGCCGGCTTGTAACTTTTTGATAAGTTGTTGGCGTAGAGTGAAACAGTCTCAGACTCCTAAGACTTGGTTCACACTGCTTGACCCTATCACCTATGACCCAGGGGATGCCGTGGCCTGGATGCTCTGGCCCTGCCAGGTGTTTTGGGAGGGGGTTTCATGGTGGTACGGGAGTCTAGATTCCAGAGAGGGTCTCCAAGGGACACCTGATTCCCCAGGAATTCCGAGGGAGTTGTTCGAGGAACCAGATCTCTACGGGGCAGCATTGTGAAGCTGTGGCCTTTGTAGCATTGCATTGTACCATGTGTCCCTCACTTGTCTGCCTTCCTCTTCCCACCCTCTGCCAGAGCTCTTATTGCTTATGAATGGGGTGGGGGGTGTCTCCCTAGGGTTTCTGCCCTACCTCCCCCAGTTCAGTCATGAGCTTGTAGGGTGAGATACAGCCCGCTTCCTTCATTCATCCTTGCCCGGCTGTCTTGGCTGGAGGTAGGAGGTGGTTTGGGACCCCTAGGGAAGGAGTCTGTCTGGAAGAAAGAGTGGGTGTGAGTTTGTGGGGCAGGACCCTCAGGGTGGCCAGGGATCTGCCTACTTATGGTGTTTTGGAAGCTGGGCCGCTTCCTGGTTTGGCATCCAAGTGTTAGGTCATCTGGGACATAGCTCCTGGTCCCTGACTGCCCACTGAGACCCAGCGAATTTCTCTGGCAGATGTGGGAACAAACAGCTCAGGTTTTAAAACATCAGGCACCCCTTCTCCCCTTCATGCCCCACCCTAGACAAGAATCTGTGCTTGTCCGGATCAGGCCAGGCCGTAAACACTGCTTTGTTTCTCAGGGAGGCCCAGCCTGTGGCTCTGGTTCTCTTGAGAGATTGATGGGGGTGTTGGCAGACACTCTTTACAGGTGGACGAGGCCCAGGGATCCTGCTGAATTTTATAAGATGGGGAGGAGTAGATAGAGCTGAGTCCTTAGCCTACCATGAGTTCAAGGAGCCGCTCCCTTCCTCTTCTGCCTCAGGGGTGAGGATCAGTACCTTTGAGACCCAGAGGAAGAGTGGTTGGGTTAGGATGATGGGGGCTTCGGGCTGAGCTGAAGTGGTTTCGGTACCGCTGGGGCTCTGCCCCTTAGCACCTTGCTGTGGAGGTGCCTCTCACCATGGAGATGCCTCTCACTGCGGAGATTGGCTGGGCTACTCAGGCTGCTGGGAATCGTGGGAATTTCTGAACCTGTGTTCCCCAGCCCACGGGAAAGGGTGTGAGCGGGACTGGGCGCCAGCCCTGGCGTGGGCACAGGCTGAACTGTCTGCCCACGTGGGCCCTGCCAGGGCACCAGCAGCCCTACCTGCCACATTCCTGAGCTTGGCCCCAGCCCTGCGCAGCCTTTTTTGTCCTTATCCCACACCTGTGCTTGTCAGGAGCAATTTAGCCGCTTCAGCTCTGCCCCCCAAACTGAGTGCACTTTTCACCAGCCATAGTGTCCAAGCCCTGTGGGCAAGAGCAGACAGCAGCAAGCCTAGGACCTCGAGGTCTTTCGTGCGCGCGCGTGTGTGTGTGTGTGTCTGTCTGCCTGTCTGTCTGTTCATGTTCTTGTGTTTCTGCCATAGCTGGCTTCTGGGCTCCAAATGGACCCCACCCTTGGGAATCTGATGAGAATGCAAGGCTCACTGAGAATTAATCCGGCCAGGAGGTGGGGCTGTCTAGGGGGCAGAGCTGATTGCTGGTTCGAGGCTTGGGAAGCAGAGTTAGAGCTTAAATATCTAGCAGCTCACAGCCTCCTCTGATGGCTTCCTGCTACCTTGCTTTCATTGGGTATTGGAGGGCCTGCCTTCATTTGGAAGCAAATGAATGAGATCATGTCTGGGGTGGATCGTGGGCTGTTTAGGGATGGGCCAGGTGGCTGTGTGCATAGTGTCTGAGGCTTGAGGACTAACTGTGGAGCTGGGGCGGGGGAAGGCTGGAGGAGTGGGCATGGGTTGGCAAAGCCATGATCTTGTAATACCTTCTCCTTTACTATATTGGCCTCAGCAGGGCTACTGCTGGGCCTTTTGTTCCTTTTGTACAAACTGGGAAAAACTGTCCCTTGTTTTGGGTGGACTCAGCATGTCAGGCGATGGCTTGGCAGGCAGGGCACAGGCCGGATTTCATACCTCCCTGGACCAGCCCTCCTTACACAGAGCACTACCTGTACAAGATACACAAAGCCCTGGGCTGAGGCCCTGCACCTGCCGGGACCCGGGTACTCGATTTGGGGTGGAGAGGCCTCTGACTTTTTCACTTCCTGGAAACAGGAGATCTTGTCCTGGTCTGTTGTTGAATGGGGGAGACCAGAACAGAAACATATCGTATTTCCAGAGTTAAGAGGCACAAGGATCAGAAAGTGGGGAGAAGACTCCCCTAGGAGTCCCGGCTTAGGCTCCAGAGGCTGGGATACCAGTTTCTCCCTTAACTTCTGCCAGGGACTCCAGATCAGCCCTGCATCTCCCCGCTGCTGTGGATAGAGGCCAGAAGCCCCCCTGCACTTTCTCCTCTGGTGCACACCTAGTCCCATGGCAGGCACCATTAGGAATCTATAGGGTCTCCCCACCTGGCGGTAGACACCTGAAAAGGGGTGTGTTGGGTGTGGCCACCATAGCCATTTCCTATCCCTTGGGCTCTGGGAGCCTCATCAGTTAGTAGGAAACCAGGGTCTCTCCAGTTCCGCAGACTCCCACCGTGGCTGTGGGCAGGTATCCCTCCCTCTCATCCCTCTCGTTCCTCTCATCCCCAGGTATAAACTGACAAGCTCCATGGTCTCCTTCAGCTCTCAGATTCCTGAGTTAGGGGCCTCTAACCCTGCTCCATCTCTCCCCAGGGATGCCGTTCTGAGTGCCTGACTGCCTCGCCCCGAAGGATGGCCTCGGATGGGCATTAGAGGCACGGCGGCCCCGGGCTCCCGTCCCGTCCGTCTGTCTGTTATCGTCTGTCTCTCTTGACATCACCGCAGCTCCACCCCCTCCCGTCCCAGCCCCCAACGCCAGCTTCCTGCGGGCCCAGAGCCGGCATGAACTCTCCCAACGAGTCGGGTAAGAGCTGGGAGGTTGGAGAAGAGCACCCTGGGGTAGCTTTGGATGCAATGGGCTGTGTGGGTTTCCCGTCCAGGCCAGCTGACCTTTCTCTCTGAGCTGTAAGGGAATCGGGGTCAGGAGTGGAGAAGTGTTGCAGGAAAGGCCCATGAGGGAGACCTGGGAAACGAGGGGTCAACGGTCTGGCCGGGTCCTGGGAAGGCATGGGTCCTACTCTGCCCCCGATGCTTGCCCTCCCAACTTAGGGGTACTCCGTTCTGGCTCCACCTTGTTCTGCTAGCCAAGACAGGTAGGCCTGAGGGGGTATGTGTGTCCCTGGATCTCTCTGGGCGGTCTGGGATGATGTTGGAGGAATTTCTTTACTGTAGCAGAATGCCCAGCTTCCTTTTTGTGATGGTGGCTTCTTTCCTTGGTGGAATGTTTGTGTTCCATACTTTTTTCTTAGTGGAGGTTTCTAAGGGCACTGGGCCTTAACCTCCGTGTGTGGGTGTTTGGCGTTGGGTGGGAGCAGGGTCATGTGTGTAGAGGAGTCTTGGCTCTCCTTGGAGGTAGACTGCCTCTCTTGGGCCCTGCACATGGTAGATTCCTAATCTGGGGTCTTTTACTCTGAGATTTCCTGTTCCTCTCTGCTCCTAGGACCCTGTCCAGTGCTACCAGAAATAGTCTATTGGGGGGACTCCAGGCAGCTTTATGTGCAGCTGGGTCTGGATGTGTGCCTGTGAGGCTGTGTTCTGGTGGCCTGAGCTGGACCCTCAGCTGTTTCCAGGGAGGGTCCTGGGGCAGTGTGGTCAGAGTAATGGCTGCTGTCTCCTTGGCTGTCTCCGTCCGCAGTGTTAAAGGTCCATCTTGCTCAACTTCAGCCCTCCACGGCCCATCGTATTCCCCATCTTTTTATGCAAGGGCGGGCGGATGTTTCTCCTTTTAGAGATAAGGGCAGTTAGGGCCTAGGATGAATACCCATTTGCAGGATTGTACAGAAGCAGCATTAGGGAGGAATCCAGGCCACCCCACATTTTCTTCCCTATCATCCTTCCTGCAGGGTTTGTAGTTCCCCGTCAGGTATTCCTGCCTCTGCCCTTGCCCTCATTCAGCCCATAGGTGCTGGGCCAGGTGGGCTGTCTAGCTCTGCCTTCTTGCTTCCTCCTCTGAGGCTGGGTGGTGAAGGGAAAGGAGAGGCCTGGGTCCTCATCTATCCCTTGCATGTCTCGGTTGGATGCCACCCCAGCAAGGTCAGCTGCGTCGGGCAGTTGTGCCAGTGGCTTCTTTCCTCTGAGTTGTGATGCCGACCTATCTGGGAGTCATTTCCAGTCCCTGCTTCCCGTGGGGCTGGGGTCTAACTCTTGATGGTGGCTTGGAAAGGATATTTCCCAGCTTTGGGGTTTCTTTCCCTCACAGGGAAATGTGATCATAATCAACCCAGGATAGATGAAGTTATTGGGTTACCTTTCCAGACGCTGGCGGTCTGTTTCCCTTGCAGCCACCTCTGCGGGAGCTGACAGGAGTGTTGGAGGAGCAGGGCGTGTCCACCAGCACTAGAGGCCGGCGGCTTGAGAGTCACTGCTGGGCCCTGGCTGGGAGGGGCATCCAAGTGGGCCTGTGGATGGGTCCCGCCTCCTGGCTGGTTTTTCCAGCTCCCCCCAGCAGGGGGAGATGCTGTCTTCTCTGTGTGGGGGAAGGAGGGAAAAAAGGAGGGGGCTAGGGATTGGGAACCTCACTTTAGGACTGTTGAGGGGCTTTGGAACTGGGACCACTGCTTGGGGATGTCTGCTTGAGGCCCTTTCTGCAGAGTGTTCCTGGGGTTCTGGGACTGGCTCTCCCAGTTATGGGGTTCTAGCTGCCCTGAGCCAGGGAGATAGCCAGCCTCCCCCCAGCTCTTCCTTTCTGAAGGGTCTAGCGTCTGCTGTTCCCAGAGCTTGGGCTGGCATCTGGGCTAGGGCTGGGGTGCCCAGTGCCTGGCAGAAGTCTGGAAACCACATGTCTTGGAACTCCGCAGAAGTAAAATGAAACTGCGAATTGTAGCCAGAGCACGCGGGTGTCCACTTCCCTGTAGATACCCTGCAGAGAGCCCCAAGAAGGAAAGGTATGGGGCCCCCGGGCAGGAGACAGAGGCGGGAAGGATGGAAATGGTTGGTCCCCAGGGTGTGCACCAGCCCCTGAGTGCCTCCCACCTTCTCCTCACTTGCCTCGGCACTCGCCTCTTTCCCCAGAGCGCAGAGCAGCAGGCTGGGTAAGGGGCAGAGCTTAGTTCCTCTCAGTTCCTCTCCTCGTAAAGCTTTTTCTGTGTGGCAAGTCCTCACTGAGTATCAGCAACAGGCTCAGCCTGTGGAAGGCAGAAGAAAACATGAGATGAGCCATCTCTGCCCGTCACGGGGAACATGTTAGCAAGAGAGACTTTCTGGTGAGGGGCAGCAGGTGGAGACTGCCAGTGATTTCCTTCTGGGGCCCACCACCCAGGGAGGTGGGAACTGATCACTTCCCTCTGGTTTGGGCTGCCTGCCAGCCTTTGACTTTATTTACCTCTTTCGCAGCCTTGGAAGCACGGGTGGAGGCTGTTGATGGGACTGCCCGCTTCCCTGAGACCATTCCCTGATCTCTGCCTTTTCTTCAGGAAAAAGGGGTCTTGAGGATTGAGGCTTTCTTTCTTTTTCTGGAACTGATTGCTTCTGCATGTTCTCCTCAGTGGGGCTGAAAGGCTGACAGAATTTTCCTGCAGGTCAGGCTCTGCCCGACCAGGTTGGAGGAGCTGCCCAGGGGCCTGGGACCCAGGCCAGCTCTAGTTGTACCCTCTCCTCTGTGCTATTGCTCAGAAGAGCAGGCAAGAGTGAGGCCCACTGTGCAAGCCAGTCTGGGTGGCAGCGGGGTCATGGAGGAGGCGGCCAGGATCCTTCTCCCCAGTGTGGGAGGGAGATAAGCTTCTCGACAACACTTGCCTGCCCAGCACCTCCCAGAACCCTCACACTTTCTCTCTTTCCTTTTCCCAGGAGGGAGGGCAGCTCCCCCCCACCAGCCCTGGTCTCTGGGTGACCAGAGAAACTGGGGCATGGGTGTGGGGTGGAGCCAGGAACCTCAGCGCCCTGCCTCCCAGCCTCAGGCTCTGCCTCCGTGCTCCCAGGGAAGGCAGGTAGTGAGAAAGTGGGTCAGTCCTGGCATGGGGCAGGGGTCTGGGAAGTGGACACCCGGCCTCCCTTCTCTCCCGAGATGCCTCCTGGCACACCTCTGTGCTCACTGCAGACTGGGGCCTGCTTCTCCCCTCCTTTTCCCTGCTGTATCGTTCCAAAGGGATTGAAGGCTTAGAATGGAATGGCCAGAGGAGGCAGGGTCAACCCTGAGGGGAAGTAGAATATGCCAAAGTAGGTGGTCACATTTTTCCTGGACTTGGCTTCAAATGAGAGGGTTCAGCCAACACCTAGCCTGGGACCTGGCACATGGCGGCTCCCAGGCCTTGCCGATGGGCTTCAGCACGGCTGGGCTCAAAGGGTGGGAAAGAACAGGAGGGCGGGCAGTCCTGATGTATCTGGGGCTCAGGGAAGCTGGCATCTCACACTCCATTCAGGAAGCTCCTGGGCCAGGAGCTTTTTCACTGTGCACTAAGCAGACCCTGCTTTCTGCCCTTTGGTCAGGGTCCCCCCACCCCTGCAGCCATTGGGCTCAGGAAATGGAACCTGAAGCCAGCGTTAGGCTCTTTCCTTCTTCAGATTCAGAGAGCTAGGAGGTCAGAGTGCAGCCTTTGAGGGAGGGGTGGAGTGAGTCTGGGGAGGACAGTCCTGGGTCTAGGTGAAGCTCATGTACTCCATGCTTGGTGGGTGCTCCGTAAGGTTTATGGGATGATACATGGGAGCACTGGATGGGAGAGGATGGAAAAGAGAAATAAACTGTAAGGAGAGGGGCTAAAGCACGAAGGACTGAAGTTAGACATTAGGAGGACCTTGTACTACCTGAATCTCAGGAGAAAAAAAGACATTTGTCCCCATCCCAGACCTCTTCCCTCATTCCCTTGGAAGATTCTGGGAATTGCACTGAGGATTTTCTGGCCATGTCTGACACTTTTCGAGGCTGTTCCAAGCTCCCGGTTCTAGCCACCTCTGGGTGTCCATGTCATGGGTGCTCCTATCTTCCCGAAGCAGAAAAGCCTCTTTCCTTCGATGTCTGGGTGCTCCAGGTTCTGGGGGCCCTGCTTTTGAGACCTGGTAACTGATGATTTCCTCTTCTTTAGAACAGGGCTCTCCTGCCACACTCCTGTGCCTGGGGCAGGCAGAGAGAGCTGGGACAGGGCTAGCCAGCCCTTCTGGTTGCTCCTAGCGTGGGTGGGTGGAGCCCTAGGCTGGGAGGGGTTGCTACTCTCAATTTTCTGGGCTCCCTTGAATCTGCTACCCATCACCCTGCTGATGGAGACCTTCTCTTCCCTTCCTCTTGAGAGGGCCTTGTTGGCCAGGATGAGCTTGGGACAAAGGGTGGTAAATGAGATCCCCAGACATACCGTGAGGTGTCCACCAGTGCTAGGCCTCTGAGGGAGTACTGTTCCATTGTCTTTTTCTAGAATCTGTCCTGGCTTAGAAGCTGCAGCTCCAGACCCCTGTTTCTTTCCTGGTCTACCACTGGGTACCCCCTGGCAATATATATATCTTGCCAGTCTAGGGCCTGGCAAACCCTGCCTCTGCCTATAGGTGTGGTCCCTCCAATCCTCCTACTCCCAGTCTGAGGGCAGGGGACCCTTTTGCCATCCCTGACTGGTGGAAGCTGGCAGGGAAATTGGGCTCCAGGAGCCACAGCCACTGTGTCCTTGGTTGGCCAGCTCCTCCTGGGCGCCCAACAAGAGGGTGAGGTCATCCAGTCCAGAGAGAGGACAGGTGTCCCTGGCTCCATGCCTGGAGTGGGGGGCAAGGAGGGGGCTCCAAAATAGCAACTGTGACATCAGGAAGGGGGAGGGGGATGCAGACACAGGAATAACCAGGCTATTAAAAGGCTCTAGTGAGGTCAGGGGGCCAAGTGGGATCTCTGTACCAGTGGGAGCACAACCTGAGGAGAAGGGGCAGGCCAGTGGTGGGGAGGGTATGGGAGTGGCACCGGTCCTCACGGCACACCAGCCCCAGGACCCAGGGAGCAGAGTCTGTGCTGCCAAGCCTGAGGCTGGCTGGTGGGGAATGGCTGGATGCTGAAAGACTCCTGACTCTCCCTAGCGAGGCGCCAGGAGAGTCTCTTCCTACTTGAGCACAGGGTTTATTGTACCTGTTCATAGAAACCCTGGGAAATGGGAGGCAGTGTAGTGTGGTGGTTCGAGCTCAGACGTGAGTCTCAGACATCCCAGCCCTGCCATCTAAGCAGCTGTATGACCCAGGGTGAGTGACCATCTCCCTGTGCCTCAGTTTTCCCATCCATACCTCTCTCCCAAGGTCACCATGCAGAATGAGATGATGTATGTGATGTTCTTAGCACCACACCTGGCACATGGCTAGGGAGCAGCTACTTGTGCTGCGAGAATGGGCAGGTGTTCCCTGGTCCGCTTTCCCAGGCTTGGGGTGAGGAAAGGGGACAAGGGAACCCCTGTCTGCCCAGGAAGAATCTCCCTACCGGCTAGAAAGAAGCTGAGGCTGAGCAGCCTCTGGAGGCGACACTCCAGAATGAACGGGAGGGAGCTGCCATTTGGCAGGTGTTTGGGGGTCTCTCTACTGGTTGAAGGAATGAGGAGGCACTCCACTCCTCAGCTCTGTGGGAGGGCAGAAGTTAAGCAAACCTCCATGGGGCTGTTAGAACTCCAGGGAAGGTGCCTGTCTGCCAGCCTCTCCCAGACCCTTCCTATTCCTTTACCTGCTCTGGAAGGCAAGAGGGCAGACGGAGGCTTGAGTCTGGCTTCTTGGTCTCCATCCCCTGGCTTGCTTGCCAAAAGTAGCAGTCAGAGCCGCTCCCAGATGCATGGGTACCCCAGCCGGCACCCTTCCCCAGCCCAGCCTCTGGCCACCCAGCGCTGTGGCCTTGGCCCTGAGTCCAGCCCTCCCCCGTTCCCATCCCCCTCGCCTGGCGCTTCCTCCTGGGGTAGAACCGCCTCCCCCCCCCCCATGGGGCCTCCTGGCAGCGGGCCCGCAGCTCCCTGAGCATGCTCCACCTATTTATAGACAGGGCCCTCCCCCAACTGCTATTTCAGTCTCCTGCCAGCTGCCGGCGGCGGCTCATTCGGGAAGGAGGAGCAGGGAGCCGGGCCCAGAGCTGTCACCCAGGATTGGGAGGGAACACAGAGAGCCCGCCTGCCCGCTGAGCTCCCCTTCCTGTCCCAAGTGCTCAGCCATACCCCAGCTCCCAGGAACCAAGGAAAGGCTGGTGGTCGAATGCCCCTCTAGAGCAGAGCTGGGCCTGCAGCTCTTGGGCCTCCCTGCCCCTCCTGCCGCCAGGAGTGCCCAGGCCGGATGAGGCACTTCCCCACAGTGCGGGTCCCATTGGCAGTGGCCTGAGGGAACCCCTGCTCAGTGCGGGCCACCTGACCACCTTTCCTTGGGCTGGCTTCCCGCCTCTGGCGGCCCCCTCCCTGGCATGCTGCTGGTGCCCAAGGCTCAGGGGCTCGTGGAGATGCTGCAGACCATCTATGAGACAGAATCCTGTTTCTCAGCAGATGGGATGTCAGGCCGGGAACCATCCTTGGAAATCCTGCCTCGGACTTCTGTGCACCGCATCCCTGTGACAGGTAAGTGCCTTGGCGTCCCTGCCTGCCCTCTGTCATCGGGTATCCTTGTCCCTGGGCTGAGCATCTGGCTCTGAGCCTTGCACAGATAGCGTCTTACGTAGATCTGTCTTGAGAGTTTCATTGAGAATACACAGGGCTGGGGCATCCCTGCTCAGAGAGGCCCCTGCCCTCCCTGCCCAGAGCCTGCTGCTCCCTTGTGCCCCGCAGCTGTACTCTGCTGCTTCACTTCAGCCACTTTGGTCTCTGGCAGGATCGGCATCTGCTGCTAGGGGCTGGGGGTTACTGGAGGATCCTGGCCTAGTTGGCACTGTGGTCAGAGGGGAGGAAGTGGGTCAGTGACCCGCCTCCTTGCTGCCCGCTCCCCAGGTTTGGGCAGGGGTAGAAGGCGTAGCTAGGTGTCCACAGGAATAAAGGTTACCCCGGCTCCTCTGGCTTGGTTCTTAGGGCTAGAGCATCAAATCCAGTAACTTCTGCCAAGTCCCCAGCCAGGAGTCTCCTGAGAATCAGACACTTGGGGAGGCTTGGTGCAGTTGTGATGGAGTTAGGCAGAGGCTGGCAGCTCGTATATTGAGGGGCTTGGCTGCCTTTGCCCCTAGCTGGCTCCCAATAGTGCTTCTCTCCCCAGGTCTGGGTTGATTCCCATGTCATGAGGATGAAGAGGTATTACTCTGGCTCAGATGGGCTTAGGACCCCCTAATCCTGCCACCCTCTCAGCAGTAACCTTTTTTGGCTCTTGGCTAGGGGTGGGGTCCCCCAGAGCTGGGCCACTCCTTCCCTCACCCCTGGGAACCTGTTGGCAGCATCAAGCCTTTCTGGCACAGCCTCCCCACCAGGCCGGCACCACAAGATGCTTCCTCCAGGGAGGAGCCTGCTGGACCCATGCCTGCTCGGCCCCTCCTGGTAGTGGCTTGGCACTCAAGTGTGGGTGTCTGTGTGTGTACGTGTGAATGGGGAGTCTTTGCCTATGGATATGTGGGTGTGCATCCCAAGCTTCAAATTGGAAGGTGGGAACTGTGTGCCTCTGCAGGTCCCTGTGATTTGGCTCTGAGCTGCCGAGGGATAAGGTTGCAGTGCGACTTGGATGTGTCAGAGAATGAATGTTTCAGGAGGATTCAGAAGATCTTTGGAACATGAATCCCTGGGCAGGGATACCCATGCAGTGTTCTCACGTAGGGGCATGGCCCTGGAGACTAGCCCTGCAGGGTATCCATGCAGGCCCCTCGGATAGGGGGATAGGGGCCTTACCCTGGGGCCAGCCCTGTAGGCTGGGGCTGGAATGGGGGTGTAACCTTGAGGACCAGCTAGCTCTACAGGGTACCCACCAAGTTCCCTGAGGTAGGGGCATATGCCTGGGAGCCACCTACACAGGCCGCTAGAATGAGGAATAAACCGAGAGGGCTGGTTCTTATCCTGGTCTGGAGTCCACAGGTCCAGCGAAAGACCCTGCCTGCTTGCCCCTCGTCCGTGGCCTCTGGGACTTAAGGTGGTCTCTTGGAAGGCAGAATAATCACGGAGCATTTGCTTGAGGCCGCTCTACCCTGTGTGGCTTATGAGGTCCACCCATCCTGCCCTGTCCCCTCTGTTCCTTGCTACCAGCAGCAGCCAGGAGTTGGCCCGAAGTTTCCTCCTTGGCTTGTTTACTCACCTCCTTTCAGACTGTACCCCAGAAACCTCGAAGGCTGGGACCCTGCTCTCTCATCCCCTCCCTAAGGCTGGCTGCCCCTGCATGGACCCCCAGGCAGCCCCTCTCTCCAGATGCCTGTCTCCCCACTCCACCCCCCACACCGGCTGGTGGTGTGGGGGGTGGACCAAGGCTTCCGAGTGGTGGCTTGGTCCATGCTGGCAGGAGGGAGGCGTGAGTCACCTCAGTGGCTCGGGGAGAGGGCTAAGAATGTTCCCCCTGCGCAGCTCTGATGCTGTGTCTGTGACGCGGCTAGGGACAGATATAGGCCTGGAGCTCGGCTGCCTTGTTTTTTTTTTTGGACTCTGGAATGTAAATAGATGTTTCAAATAGAAACACTTTAACCTTTGGGTTAAAAAAAATCCACCCCGGATAAACACGGCCATGAGGGCCCGGGCAGCCTGGTGTTTCCCTCCCCACCCCCTCTCCCCATCTCTTGATCGGTCTCCAGGCAGGATGCAAGAGCCTGTGGCTGAAAAAGCAGGTGTCCAGGGTTGCTTCTTTGGACAGTGTGAATTGCACAGGCCTCCCAGGCCTAACGGGTTGGGGCAAGGGGCTTTTGAGGGTACGCCTGCCTGCCACCTCCAGCAGCATCTTGGGAACCCTATTTTAGGGACAGCCTTTGTTTTCTGGGCTGTCTTGGTTGCTGCCATCGCACAGCACCTAGCACAGTGCCTGGCACATGGATGAATGAATATTGCATGGGGAAGGCTGGAGTCCAGGATTGCTGGCAGTTTTCCTGGGCTCTATTCTGGGGCTCAGACCTCTAGGTGAATAGAGATAGCTTTAGTGAGTCACCCAGCAGGTGAGACAGAGTCTTAACCTCCTGAAGGATGGGGCCACTTTGCTGTTCTTTCTTGAAGATGGGGCCGGATCTCAGCATCCGCTCTTGGTGATCAGAGGTCTCCCTTGATGGGTGAGGTCTCTGCCAGGCCACCCTGCCACAGCCCCCCAATACACAGAGGGCATTACCAGCATCCAAGCTTAGTTCTGGTCTGGGGAGCCTGGAAGTTTGAACTCTAGTATGGGAGTCTCAGGGACACAGAGCTGGGGAATTCTCTGCCTTCCTTATGTGGGCTCTGGATTCCCCTTTGTCCTGTACTGGGTGGAGCTGATACCCAGACAATGTGCAAGACTTTATAAGAAGGCATGGAGGAGGAGTTGGCTTTTCCCGTGGAGGGAGGGTGTGAATCCTTCTTGTGCCAGGAAGGAATGCTGTGGACACTGGGAAGTGCCATGGGGTCCAGGTTTGGCCTTGGGGCTTTCCGAGAATATTCTTGTTTATGTTCTTCAGACTTTCCGGGTTTGGTTGTGTGTGTAGGTATGTAGGTGTAGGCATGCCAGGAAGGTAGAAAGGGCAAGACTCATGGTGAGAGTGGAACTCTTATAATGCACTAAGTGACAAGGCTATCAGGTACTTTCTTTAACATCTCTCTCTCTCTCTCTTTTTTTTTTTTTGAAATGGAGTCTTGCTCTGTCGCCCAGGCTAGAGTGCAGTGGCGCGATCTCAGCTCACTATAACCTCCACCTTCTGGATTCAAGTGATTTTCCTGCCTCAGCCTCCCAAGTAGCTGGGAATTACGGGCATGTGCCACCATGCCCAGCTAATTTTTGTATTTTTAGTAGAGACGGGGTTTCATTATGTTTGCCAGGCTGGTCTCGAACTCCTGACCTCGTGATCCGCCTGCCTCAGCCTCCCAAAGTGCTGAGAGTACAGGCATGAGCCATAGCCGTAGTTTACAATTGAGAGGTCTCAAGAGAGGTTAAGGGACCTGCTTAAGGGACTTTCTGCACATGGTGGTTCATACCTGTAATCCCAACACTGGCTGAGGCAGGAGGATCACTTTAGGCTAGGAGTTTGAGACCAGCCTAAGTAACATAGCCAGACCCTGTCTCTACAAAAAAATGTTAAAAAAAATTATCCAGGCATACTGGCATGTAGCTGTAGTTCTAGCTACTCAGGAGGCTGAGGCAGGAGGATTGCTTGAGCCCAGGAATTTGAGGCTACAGTGAGACATGATCTCTGCCCTCCAGCCTGGGCGCTATAACAAGGCCCTCTCTCTTAAAAAAGGGAACCTGCCCAAGGTCACACATTAAGTGAGAGCTGGAATTTGAACTCAGGTCTCTGGTTCCTACTCAGGTAGGGAAATTGCTAATCCATATAAAAGCTTCTTTTGTGCAGATTTTTAAAAAGTGGCTCTTCTCCTGGGTAGATGCATCCTTATGCCAGTGTGTGTGGCCTGGCGATTGGAGCTTGGGCGAGATTTCAGCCCCAACTCACTCTTTTAGCTGACAGCCCATGTGCAGGATGCAGCCTACACAGCCCTATGTGCTGGGCCTGTCAGTGCAGTGTCCACAGTTTGTGCTCCTAAAGCATAGGAACCATTCTGGCTTCAGGGGCCTGGTGGGGTTCTGAGAGGAGGCTTTGTTTTCTGTAAATACTAAGGACCATTTGGTCAGTTATCTTCCTCCCTGAGGGGACTTTAGCCCAAGGACAGGAGAGGGCTCAGGAACAAAGTTGAATACCAGCCCCCATACAGCCTCCTCTGCTCCCCTCCCCCACCTTATCCCCTCTTCTTGTTTTTGAGACCCTCAGCTCTCCCTTCCTTGCCACACAGCTGCCAGACAGGAAATCAGATTAACTGTGTCCAGACACACAGCTGTAACAGCTGTCAGGTTGGCAGCAGAAATGAGTGCAGGCAGCCTGGGGACACTGTGAGGCAGTGGTTCTCCAACTTTTGGTTGCATCAGAATTACCAAGGGAAGGTATTAAAATGCAGATTCTCAGGCCTTGACACCCCGTCCTCACCACAAAGGTTTGGATTCTCTAGGGCAGCCCAGGAACCAATGATTTAAACTCATGTCTCACGTGATTCTGATGCGAATAGACTCAGACCATGCTTTGAGTGAGGGATGAGTGGACAGGGGTCGCAGGGCCCAGCAGTCAGCCAGTGGGTCATCAGCATCCCTGGAAGGCCTTGGTGGGTCTTGGGACTCCTGGGAGAAGGGCCTATGCAGGAGGAGGGAGGCCGTCACCCCAGAGAGAAGTGAACCCAACTCCCAGCTGCCTGTCAGTCGGGAGAGAGGATGTTTCCAGCAGCCAGGGAGCAGGTGTCTAAACCCCTGCGGAATGGGGGATTATGGCAAACAGCCAGGTGGGCAGGGCACCCTGCTGGACACCCAGGGCTGTGATGTGCTTGGCAATGGAGGCAGATCTGCTCTGGAGCCCCTGGCATTCCACCCCAGGTGTGGAGCAAACAGTCCTAGTAACAGCTGCAGACTTTGAATGGTTAGTGTACCTTTTACTTGCCGGTAGCTT